GCAAACCTGGCAGTGAGTGTTCCGGTTTGCAAATGTCCTTTGGAACCCGAATGCCCAGCGCAGCTTCCAATTGGCTGCAGGAGCTTCCTGCAGCCAATTGGAAGCCACGTCTTGGTTTCCAAACATTTTGGAAGTAGAATGGACTTCTGGAACGGATTCCGTTCGACTTCCAAGGTACGACTGCACCCCAAAGACATCATAGTCTTTGTTTACCTTCATTCCGGGGAAGCCAACCCCTGAGTAAGTGTTGGGACATGCCGGAAGCCTCTCAAAGCTCAGAGACAGAGGTGCATGCAACAGTGCTTTGAAAACAAACCTTTGCTTTCTGTCTTCAAGAAATACAGTAGTACCTCGGCTTACAGACGCTTCAGGTTACAGACTCCGCTAACCCAGAAATAGTACCTCAGGTTAACTTCAGGATGAGAACAGAAATCGCGTGGCAGCAGCGGGAGGCCCCATTAGCTAAGGTGGTACCTCAGGTTAAGAACAGTTTCAGGTTAAGAACGGACCTCCAGAATGAATTAAATTCTTAACCCGAGGTACCACTGTATATTAAAATTGCCCCCCCCTTCTCCCTCTCCCTCTCTCCTGAAATTTTACAGCAAAGGGAAGATTCTTTTTTTAACATTTTATTTCCACAAAACTCCATCTGGCCTGACTTGCCCCCTTTCCTTTCTCCTTTCTGGAATGTAACAACGGCAGGGATCTCCTCCGCCTCGGCTTCTTTTTCTTTTTTTAAATAATAATAATAAAAAAAACCTCATGAAGTTGCAGCTGCCACGTACACCAGTGGTTGGAAGTCTGGAAGAGGCTTAAGCTGATGGCTTTCCCAGGCTGGTGGCAGCTGGGATATGTATTTATTTATTTATTTTCCACCCCGCTGTGGCCGCTGGCAAGCTGGCTTTTCCATGGAGAGGCCCCTGGAAAAGAAGGCTTGGTTTAGGAGGGTGTTCCTTGCTCTTTCTCTCCCCGCCCCCCCCAACATACACATTTTCTGTGGTCGGGAGACAGCAAACCCCATTTTGAACGGAGAAAGAGTCTGAATCAGACGGCAGCACAATCTGAGAAGTGTCAAAGGGGCAATCAGGAAATTGGTTCCAGCTCTGTCGCAGCAGATTTTTGGTTGGCCTCCCCCTTCCCCATTCTGCTGGAACTCATCCCCTCCTGGAAGCCACACCTTCCTCTGACCTGGAAGTGCTTCCTCCAGATCAGGCATGGCCAAACAATCCCCACCATCCCTGACCACTGGTCCTGTTAGGTAGGGATGATGGGAGTTGTAGTCCCAAAACATCTGGAGGGCCAAGTTTGGCCATGCCTGCTCTAGATCTTCAGGTGCTGGAACCCACTGAAACCTGACTGAAGTCCATTTCCAGCTCCCATGCTGAAGAGAAAACCACATGGGACCTTCAAGCAGTGGCGTAGGGTGGAGATGGAGTGTGGCTCAGGGTGCAAATTTATGAGTACGCACCCCCAGGGGTCCCCAGGCAGGCTCCCTCACTGTGAGGAGGCGACTCGCACCTAGTGTGCTGGTCCCGTGGGTTACCTGAGGCGAGGTCCAAGTCTGGTCCGTGGTCAAAGGTGCAACATGGAGGCCGTCTGTAGTAGCTGAAGCTGGGTGCAGGGCAGGGAGTTGGGTGAAGTCAGGAACGGGCATGCAAGCAGGAAGCCAGGGTGGACCAGGAGCTCTGACAGAAAGGCAGGACAGGGTTCAGGCAAGAACTAGCAACCAACAGTGTTGCTCCCACAACTTGGGACTGGGGCTGGCTGGCTTTTATCTGCCCCAAGGCATAGGGTGGCCCCGATCCTCTGGTGACTAGCCTCTCCTGGCTTGGAGGCGAGCACTCCTCCTGCGGGAACTTAGTTCCCTCCGCTTCTCTGCCCTGAGCCTCTGCAGCTCAGGAGAGGCTGGAGGGTTACTGGACCCAGGGGCAACCTCAGCTTCCTCTGACGGGGCTGAGAGTGGAGCACCTGCAGGCAATGGGTCCTCCATCACCTCAGGAGCCAGAGCAGGCTCAGCTCATGCCTGCACCTGAGGACCCGGCACAGGTGAGGACCCTTCAGGCTCAGGCCCCAGCCCCAGCTCAGCTGGTTCTGGAGGCGGGGAATTCTGTGCAGGCTGGGATCCCTCAGGATCACAATCCAAGTCCGAATCCCAGGCCATCACACCCAGGCTGGGCCTTCAGACCTGTGGTGGCATTGACACCTCCATCTCCTTGTGGCCAGTGAAGGGACACCTGTTTGCACTCCACCCCTGAACCAGCCAAGAGGGAGGGATGGGGAGGGTGTTGCCACCGCCCACCAAGGAGGGAGGAAGAAGATGAAGGTTGGAAAGCATTGCTGCAGCCCAGAGCACATCACTGCAAGGACAGGAGGGCAGGCCGACACAGCGGCGCCCCTGGCTTCCACATTTCTTGCCTTATTTCTGCTCCCAAGTTGGGGCTAGTTTGCAAGAGGAGACTCCCTTGGTTAGATGCTGGCCAAAGAAGGGACTGACCATTGCCCAGCCCACCAGGGTGTGTGTGTGTGTGCAACATTTGCCCTGCCCCGGGCACCAGCAACCCACGCTATGCCCCTGGGGGCTTCAAGGGGTCCAGCTATCAACAGGGTCTGGGATCTACAGTACCTTCAGTCATCAGAAATCTCCCTAATGAACATCGGCTGCACCATGGAACTCAGTGGGGCTTACTTCTAAGTAGACCTGCGTGAGATTCTGTTGTAAGGGCATGGACCTGTTCCGTTAATGTTTGGAATCCAGGAAGCTGAGGGTGGAATTTAATGTAGTATTTAGGAGACTATTGTGTTAGGGTAAGCCCAGTAGACCAATCTCCCTTCTCTCCGCCCCCCCTGAGGGCTGTTCTGGGGGTTCTCCTGACCCTCCAGAGCAGATTTGGGGTTGGTGTGGGGTGAGGGTGGAGGAAGGTTTGGGAGAGTCCTGTTGCAATACTGGGAGGTCTTGTACAGGTTTCCACTAGTTGAACCAGGTAGTTGAAACCAGCCCTGACCTTAGGAGCCATTTCCTAGTGTCTGAGGTCCCTTCAGCCCCCCACAATACTTGAGTAGACCAGGGCCCTGCAAAGTTGATTGGCACTATCATTCAAATGGTGTGTGTGAGCAACGTCATGTGATCAGTTATGTGGGGTGGGGCTTCCCTGGCCCCTCTAATATTTTATTCAAGTTGGCACACCTGGCCCTGACATTTTTAAAATTATACGTACATGTACACACACACACACACACACACACGTTTATGAAGTAAAAACCAGAAAATCAACACTGGAATCCAAACAAAACACAAATCAAGATTCATTGGATAAAAATTATGAACCAAAATCCCAAAACCAAAATACGGAACAATTCAATTGAAAAAATATTAGGGCAAATAAGGTTTTAATGGGCATCTAGAGGGACGCAGGTGGCGCTGTGGGTTAAACCACCGAGCCTAGGACTTGCAGATCAGAAGGTTGGCAGTTCGAATCCCTGCGACGGGGGTGAGCTCCTGTTGCTCAGTCCCTGCTCCTGCCAACCTAGCAGTTCGAAAGCACGTGAAAGTGCAAGTAGATAAATAGGTACTGCTCCGGCGGGAAGGTAAACGGTGTTTCCGTGCGCTGCTCTGGTTCGCCAGAAGCGGCTTAGTCATGCTGGCCACATGACCCGGAAGCTGTACACCGGCTCCCTCGGCCAATAAAGCGAGATGAGCGCCACAACCCCAGAGTCGGCCACGACTGGACCTAACGGTCAGGGGTCCCTTTACCTTTACCTTTAAACATAGTTGATGCCTCTCAGTAAAATGGAGTCATGGACAGCCATAGGTAGCAATCTTGTTTACTTCTGATGTTCCTGTTCAGCGGTGTCAGAGGCTAAGGATGGGTGAGAATTTCTATTCATTTTCATTTAAAGGCAAACTTACCTAATTTGCACCTTTTTTGGGAAGCAATGCAAAAACCAAAACACAGCTATCCTTGAAAATTCTCCAAATCTTATGCAGTAGTTTTCCAGCCAACTAATCTGTGCAAAATGTGTATTTTATTGAAAATGACATACAGAAATGCATTTGATTAGGTTGAATTGCTGTGCAAAAATTGTATATCTGCTATCAAAATGTGTGCATTAGAATAAATCTGCACTAAAATGCTGCCTGAATTTTATGAATTCAGATGCTTAGATACAGTTTAGCTACAGCAGGATCCAAATTTGCAGAATGAGTTCTCCATGCATGTATAGGAATGAATGCAAATGGACTGAACTTGGAACTGGAATACGGATAGATCGATAGATCAATTGATAGGTAGGTAGGTATAGCTTTAGGAGCGGGATAGTTAAGGGATCATTTTCTTCCATATGAATTTGTCTTCTCATTAAGATCTGTTGAAGCTGCTCTTCTCCATACCCCACCTAGGGTGACCATGTGTGTCCTGGTTTTCAGAGGACAGTTTTTAAGAAATTCCTAAAGAAGGGAGAAAATAGGAGAGACCTTAAAGTTACCCATCAATAGTTAGCAGTACCTGGGCAGCAAATTCAGCAAGCGCCGATGGGTCTTTTAAAATATTTTTGTTTTGCCTTCGTTTGGTCTGCTGAACTGAAACTATTTTTATTGATCCACATTTTCCCCAATCTTGAGTTCATGTCTCAGCTTTTCCACATCTGTTCACTGGTTGTTTTTTTAAGTCATCATGAAAATTCATCAGTGACCTGTTCCTAATATACACATCTTTGCATGCAATTCTGCCCAATTTACACATTTCTGTAGAATGATTCCCCCTAATGTAAAGCGTTTTTGTACGGTTTTATTTTACTAATATTTGCCTGTTTAGGCCCACTTTACTCCTAAATAGGCATTTTTATTTTATTTGCTTGGAGAACCAAGTTGCAAAATTCAGAGAACTGTGAATTGTGAAAGATGGCTCTGCTTGCTTTCTTGTTGTCTTTTGGAAAGTGAAGGTTATGTTGGTTCACCTTTAGATGCAAACTGAATTGCATTTCTCCTCCACCCCTACTCAGAAGTTGTTGTTTAGTCGTTTAGTCATGTCTGACTCTTTGTGACCCCATGGACCAGAGCACGCCAGGCACTTCTGTCTTCCACTGCCTCCCGCAGTTTGGTCAAACTCATGTTTGTAGCTTCGAGAACACTGTCCAACCATCTCGTCCTCTGTTGTCCCCTTCTCCTTGTGCCCTCAATCTTTCCTAACATCAGGGTCTTTTCCAGGAAGTCTTCTCTTTTCATGAGGTGGCCAAAATATTGGAGCCTCAACTTCAAGATCTGTCCTTCCAGTGAGCACTCAGGGCTGATTTCCTTCAGAATGGATAGGTTTGATCTTCTTGCAGTCCATGGGACTCTCAAGAGTCTCCTCCAGCACCATAATTCAAAAGTAGGTCCAAGTGAATTCAATGGGACTTGCTTTTAGTTACATGGTCATTGATTGCAACCTTAGTAAATTACGATGAATTAAATGAATCAAGGCTACAGTATTGTGGTCATGGCAAAAGGTGTCAAAGGCTGCGCATGATTTCCTGGATCTTCTTCTCCAGCAGTGAAGAGATTGGTCTGCCCTTGGAGAAGGTGATTCAGTGTTAGATGCCTCCATGTAGGGTTGGGGGCGAAATTTCTCAGTTCTCATTCAAAGGCAAACTGACTTTCTGAAAGAAATTGTGAACTGAAACACAGCTGTCTTCTGAAATTTGCATTTCTCTGAATTTTGCAATGTCATTCTCCAGCCAAGGAACCAGCACAAAAAAAGCATATACTAATATGTGCATATAAGTGCATCTATTAATGAAAATAACATATGATGATGCACTATGTCAGCAGGAATTCCTTGCAAAAATGGCTATATTACTCAAAACTACATAGAAAGATGTGCCTATTTGCTCCAAAATTTGCTCTAAAATGCTGGTGAGTTTTTATTTTAACTCAGATCTGCAGATGGCTGCAGAAATTTAAGAGCTGCAGATTGTGGAAATGAGATGCTGAAAGAACCAAAACTGACCTATTTGCACATCTTGTTTCTATGGGACTGCATAAAGGCCACTATCTTTAAAGTGCTGGACAGGAAATTTTGGGGGGGCATGCCATGTGTGTATTTATTGTTATTTGTAGTGTACTTAGAAAAATTTTACACCACTCTTCAGCTTCAAAGGCTCCCAGGGCATAACAATAAATTAAAACAAGCCAGTCCCTCTCCACAGGCTTACAATTAAAAAAAGCAAAAAACACTGACACAAAACGAAATAGAGACAGAGAGGAAAGAGATGGAGGGGGGAAAAAACTATACAGTATCCATAGAAAGTGCCCCCCAACATATCCATGAAATAAAGGACAAAGTATGCTGGCCCTGGAGCTGACATAGTTTATTTTGCACCCTAGATGGGAGGAAAAGAGTAGATTTGAGCATGTGCAAAATGCTTTCTCCAAAATACATGGGGAACCATAGACAGCCCTGCCCATATCCCTCTACAAGTAGGGAAAAGAATTACTGGGAGAGAACCACATCCTTTAGGCTCCACCAACTTTCCTTTTCAAAATCAAAAACAAACTAATTTACTTAACGTGAAAAGGCTTTCTCCCGATCCAGCCCTGGAGGGATTTGGAACGAGAAACTGACATGGCGTTGCAGGGCGGGGTGTTGGAGGGGGGAAACTAATGCAAGGAACAGGAAGCAACAGTAGCCTAGATCGGGGGGATAGAGTTACCTATCAAGAATGTGAGAAGGAGGGAGGAACGAGCGAGGAGATGCTCTGAGCCAAATTGGTTTCATCATCTCTCCTCGCGCCCGTTTGCATCTCCCGGATTCCACAATTCGCTGGTGTCGCTGGGTGGAAGATGGAGAGCCAAGCAAAGATGAGGGAAAGCAAAAGAATTTTCATTTCCTGGCTGTTCCTCCTGCCCGAGGGCAGATATTGCAAGCCTTCTTGTTGTTGTTTAGTCGTTTAGTCGTGTCCGACTCTTCGTGACCCCATGGACCAGAGCACGCCAGGCACTCCTGTCTTCCACTGCCTCCCGCAGTTTGGTCAGACTCATGTTTGTAGCTTCAAGAACAGTGTCCAACCATCTCATCCTCTCGTCCCGTCTCCTTGTGCCTCCATCTTCCCAACATCAGGGTCTTTTCCAGGGAGTCTTCTCTTCTCATGAGGTGGCCAAAGTATTGGAGCCTCAGCTTCAGGACCTGTCCTTCCAGTGAGCACTCAGGGCTGATTTCCTTCAGAATGGAGAGGTTTGATCTTCTTGCAGTCCATGGGAGCCTGCAAGCCTACCGTCACGCAAACGAGTGGAAGGAGTTGGGAGGGAGGGGAAAGGTGACCGGGGAGAATGTTTCCACCACGTTGGGATGAGAAGACGTCTTCCTGTGTGCAAGGAAGATTGGCTCCTAGCAAGGGGCTGGCATATTGGAAAACCCTGAGGTGGCAAAGAGCTGCCTCCCCAGTTGCAAAATCTTCAAGTATACGAATGACAAATTCTGCTCCTCAAGAAAGATAGTATCACGCCACTGGTATAAACAGGGGAGTTCTGTCTTTTCCCCCTCCCCAAGATTTATTTTGGAAATCATTTTTATTTGATTTGACAGATTTATAACAATACCAAATACAGTGGTACCTCAGGTTACAGACACTTCAGGTTACATACGCTTCAGGTTACAGACTCCGCTAACCCAGAAATATTACCTCAGGTTAAGAACTTGGCTTCAGGATGAGAACAGAAATTGTGCTCCAGTGGTGCGGCAGCAGCAGGAGGCCCCATTAGCTAAAGTGATACCTCAGGTTAAGAACAGTTTCAGGTTAAGAACAGACCTTGAGAACGAATTGAGTTCTTAACCCGAGGTACCACTATACATATCCCTATTTAGAGATTTCTCTGAATCTCTGAGACTTCCCCCCATCCCCTCCATGGGTCCTATTGTCAAAATTTTCAACTGCGTATTATTTCATAATTTATGTTTTGTATCTATCCATATTGTCTGTAGTGTTTGCTACATTACAAGTGAGATTAAAATCCTGCTAATGTTTTCACCTGCTTACAGTGGCCTCCTAAATAAATTATATCTTTTTTCAATTCTTTTTAAAGCATTTTGTCCTCTTGGTTCCTGATTTATCCAATCAGCTTTGCCATTTTGGCGTAGCCCATCAGCTTGGTTTGCCATTCCTTCCTGGTAGTGACTCTTTCTTCTTTCCATCTCTTGGCTCGTAGCATCCGTGTGTCGACATGCAGAGGGCCAGGAGGCCAGCTGGCAAGCCCCAGCTGTGTCCTCTCCATCCATCGGCCTGTGCTCCAACGTAAATCAACGATCCGGGCTTCAAAGCCAGGGCACGCTATCAGCAGAGAGAACTGTGTACACAGAATCGGCGTGAGGTTTGTGGAAACATACTACAACTACAGATTTATTAATCATAAATCAGGACAATGAAACATGTCGTATCTCTCTCGTGTCATCTCAGAGAAAAGCAAAAGCTATACACAAACGGAAGTTCCCAGCATACTGTGCTGGAATGTAAACAGACATGTGACACGTAACAATCCCATGTCTGTTCCTTAAGGTGGAATGGAAATGTCAACACCGTGAGGCTGTTGTCGCAGACATAAAAAGTCTTTTCTGCTCCTTTGGAATGTTGGCACCTATAATTCCTAATAAAAAAGCTTCTGGTTTTTTAAACAAAAGTTATTTTAAACATTTTTTTCAGTTCATTACATGTCATCTCCCAGAAAGCTTTTATTACCTTACACGACCACCACATATGATAAAAGGTGCCTTCTTTCTCTTTATATTTCCAGCAGGTGTTTGCAAGGTCTTTCTTGTGCCGAATTATCATATGCGGATTAATTTGCATGGGCACAAAATGCCGAGCCGGGCCAGGGAAATGGGCCCACATGATGCTGCTGGACTCCAGCTCCCATCAACCTCGACCAGCATCAGTCAGTATCCAAGGGATTATGGGAGTTGTAGTCCAGCAATGTCTGGGTAGCTCAGTTGGTTAGAGCGTGGGGCTGACAATGCCAAGGTTGCAGGTTCGATCCCCGTATGGGACAGCTGCATATTCCTGCATTGCAGGGGGCTGGACTTAGATGATCTTCACGATCCCTTCTGACTCTACGATTCTGTGATTTCCCCTCCTTGGTTCAGAGCATTTCCCCCCATCCTTCCAGCGCTGCCTATCCAGATGGACAGAATCCCTGCATCGAACATCCGTCCAGGAGGAGGGACCTACTATTGCAAAATAAAACATCCTCAGGCAGACAAGTGCCTTGAGCAATAGGTAGTAAGGTGTCAGGGCGAGGGTCTCGGCAAAGGGATCTGAAATGTGAAAACAGTGTACAGTGGTGCCTTGGTTCTCAAATGCCTTGGTAATCAAACAACTTGGAACCCAAACACTGCAAACCTGGAAATAAGTATTCCGGTTTGTGAACTTTTTTCAGAAGCCGAACGTGCTCCGTTTTGAGTGTTATGCTTCCGATTTGAGTGCCACACTTCCATTTTGAGTGTTACACTGAGGTCTATCTGTTTTTGCTATTTATTTTGCGTTGTTGTTGTTTTTTGCGGTTCTTTTGTGTGTGTGTGTGTGTGTGTGTGTGAGAGAGAGAGAGAGAGAGAGAGAGAGAGAGAGAGAGAGAGAGACTGTGTGGAACCCAGTTCAGCTACTGACTGTGTGACCGTAGTACATTGTTTATTACTTTCATTTTATGGATCAATGGTCTCGTTAGATAGTAAAATTCATCTTAAATTGCTGTTTTAGGGGTTGCTTTAAAAACCTGGAACGGATTAATCCAGTTTGCATTACTTTCTATGGGAAAGCGGTTCTTGGTTTTGGAACGCTTTGGTTTTGGAACGGACTTCCGGAATGGGTTAAGTTTAAGAACCAAGATACCACTGTATACAAGAGTGCACACGTTTCCCTGTGTGAAATGCTAGAGAGCCCAGCACACACACAAACACACACCAAACCCTGCCCAAATAAAAAATAAAAAATGCCAGATGAATGCAAGTTTCAAAAATCCAAATTCTTCCTTGTCCCTTCTCGTACGCAACCTCTCTCTGATGCTGTGCAGATGTGCATCCACAGACAGCAAAATTCCCAAGAAGAAAGCACTCTTTTTGCCTGCCAGTAGGTGGCAAAAGACAGAAGAGAAGGCTGCTTTCTCTTAGCATGGACTTGTGGGGAAGGTGTGACTCAGTCTTGGGTACAGTGCTTGGCATCTCCTGGCTGGGCTGCTGGGAAATTCCTGCCTGAAACCCTGGAGACCAGTGCCCATCCATGCAAAGGTAAAAGGTAAAGGACCCCTGGGCGGTTAAGTCCAGTCAAAGGCGACAATGGGGTTGCGGTGCTCATCTCGCTTTCAGGCCGAGGGAGCTGGAATTGGCCACAGACAGCTTTCCGGGTCATGTAGCCAATAGGACTAAACCGCTTCTTGCTCAGCGGGACACTGTGATGGAAACCAGGGTGAACGGAAATGCCGTTTACCTTCCCACCGGAGTGGTACCTTTTTATCTACTTGCACTGGCGTGCTTTCAAGCTGCTAGGTTGGCAGGAGCTGGGACAGAGCAACAGGAGCTCACTCTGTTGCAGGGATTTGAACTGCCAACCTTTGGATCGGCAAGTCCCAGAGGCTCAGTGGTTGAGACCACAGCGCCACCCATGTCCCATCCATGTAGACAGTACTGGGCTCCATGGACCATGGGTCTGACTTGTTGTAAGACAGCATCCTTTGCTCCTAAACCCAAACCTGGATGGCTATTGTAATGCTGAAAGAATGACAACCAAGGCTGCACTCCTTCAACAGAGGTGTTGTAAGAATTCTAAAGTCTCAAATATAAATTAAATGTTCATAAATGTACAAGGCAAATACATACATATGGACCATTTGTCCGAAATAGTGCAGGAGAGCAATCCTGAAGCCCTTTTGACTCTCCCAATGACCTCAAATATTCCTCCGCAGTAAGGGAGGAAAATGGGGAAAGTCTTCCCATTGTCTTTTGCTCGCAAATCCTGTCTTGAGGGCGCATTTGTGTATGAATAGGGTGAGCCAGTGATCTGGATTCTGGAACTAAAGTATTATCCATCACAAAAGAAGGACAAGGCTGCCCAGGTAATGCAATCAGTGACCAGTATTAGGTATCCTGGCAGACTTCTGCGATGTATGTATGATGTTTTTGGGGGTGGTCTTGGGCTACAGGGTGGGCAATTTCAAAAGTCTATATAAGGGCTTGCGCACCATTGTTCTGGGTTCCTCCTCCCTCCTGCGTGTGGGGAGTGGGGACCCTATTACAACAGTTCAGGCTTACTATCTGCTTTGCTTCTTAATATACTCTGCTTAGCCTCTGTTATTTTCTCCTACTGATAGGGAACCCACTTAGGGACTCTATATGGGCTCTTGGATACCCCATAAGGGAAAAGGAGCAGTTTTTTTCTTATAACAGAGGCAAGCCCTTACTGAGCAGAGTAAGGCTGGCTTCTCTCACTCGGTAGAGCCGGAGACTCTTAATCTCAGGGTCGTGAGCAAAAGATTCCAGCATGCTAAGATGTACCTCAACATCGCTGTCTGTATTTTTGCAGTGACCGATGGATTTTAGGAAAATAAATTTAACTGGGTGCATGAGATCATGTTGCTAATTTCAAAGCTAAATGTCCAACCCGGTCCACAGACTCCCCACCTTCATTCATCTAGAACCTGCAGGGGCAGACTTGGTAATACAGTGGTACCTCGGGTAAAGAACTTAATTTGTTCCGGAGGTCTGTTCTTAACCTGAAACTGTTCTTAACCTGAGGTACCACTTTAGCTAATGGGGCCTCCTGCTGCTGCCGTGCCACCGCTGTGTGATTTCTGTTCTCATCCTGAAGCAAAGTTCTTAACCCGAGGTACTATTTCAGGGTTAGTGGAGTCTTTAACCTGAAGCGTCTGTAACCCAAGGTACCACTGTATAGTGTCCTGAGCAAGGACAAAATTTGGGCCCTCCCTCAATATTTCTTATGTTCACAATAATTTCTCCTTCCTTCCTTCCTTCCTTCCTTCCTTTCTTTCTTTCTTTCCTTCTTTCTTTCTTTCTTTCTTTCTTTCTTCCTTTCTTTCTTCTCCTCCTCCACCTCTTCCTCATTCTTTGCCGTCTTCTTCTTCTTCTTCTGCACATCTTTGGCTAGGCACCCTGTGTGGGGGAACCTAAATCTGAGAATCTGGAAACCCTTTTATCATGCAGGAGGCATCAAGGGATCCTATGCACTCTTTGTTTGAACATAACTATATCTATATCTATCATCTATCTATCTATCTATCTATCTATCTATCTATCTATCTATATCTATCTATCTATCATCTATCTATCTATCTATCATCTATCATCTATCATCATCTGTATCTATCTATCTATCTATCTATCTATCTATCTATCTATCTATCATCTATATCTATCATCTATCTATATCTATCTATCATCTATCTATCTATCTATCTATCATCTATCTATCTATCTATCATCTATCTATCTATCTATCTATCTATCTATCTATCTATCTATCATCTATCTATCTATCATCCTATCTATCATCTATCTATCTATCATCTATCTATCTATTTATCTATCTATCTATCTATCTATCTATCTATCTATCTATCTATCATCATCATTATTATCTATCTATCTATCTATCTATCTATCTATCTATCTACCCTAGGAGCTTTCTGCTAACTTGCAGTCTGGTGCTGTCCCTTGGCAAATTCTTTCAAGCACTTGGCCCAGGTGGGAAAAGTTTAAACTAGTTCCACACTTGCTCAGCTGAGACCAGCTTTAATTCCCAATAATTAATGTTATCAGAGAAAAACAAAGGCGAAGGGAGGAAGACCCAACAATTTGGTTCCATTTTCGGGGCCTCCTAGTGCCTGGAAATATGGCTAAGCACTTTGGATACCCGCTAATTATAGCCTCTCCCTTCCACTGAGACTGAATGGCAGGACTGGAAAATGTTTCCAAAAAGGACTTATTTGGGGCCACGAGCCAACCAATAGCCAGTGTTTTCAAGTTCTGTTGGCTTGATTTTGACTGGGCCATGCTAATTTTCCCTAATTCTTTTGTTCTGTTTGGCGTAAGCTGGTAAGAAGAAGAACATAAAAAATAGGAAAAAATTATCATGCGTCCGCATGCAGGCATGATAATGGATCAAAACAGCTCCCTACATATTAGGGCTTTTCTTGGCAGCATGGCTATTGTCACTCTGAGCTCCTGCACCTTAAATTTGCCATGACACTACTGTTAGCAAGTGGTATGGTTGCTAAAGCGTGTTCTCATTAAAAGAGAGCATGTGTTGTGGTTGAGGCCAGGCAAGACACCCCGCTGTTGCCAGGCAGTTTGGGTTAGATGGGCCTGGCAAGGATTGGTTGCCCGAGTTGCTGGGGTAAAACTGATGTTGCCAATTTGGGGGTGGGAACAGAGATTATTTAAGCAGTGCTCACAGCGATCTGCTTTCTCTTTCGCTGTGGGCACCGGATCACCCGCCCTCCCTCCCTTGTTTTTGGCTTGTGCTTTGACCTTGCTATGCCTGTCATGGGGTCATCTGCCATTGGGGTGGGGGCCTGGTAGGAATTTTGTCCATCTGGCTGATTGGCTGGTGCCATTTGCTTTTTGCCTACTGCGTAGCAAATCGTCACAACTTGTAAGGTTGGCGGTTAGGCATTGGTTAAAATTGGTTGGTGGAGGGGTAAGGATTGGCTGGGCCTGCCCCTCCAATGCTGCTGCTGCAAGGGAATTCCATTAAAGGAATTCAGGGGCTTGCCATCCTTTCGTCCAAACCCCTGGAATTGGGTTTGGGCCGTGTAAGCCCCTGGGAGCATGCGGGGAGAAGCTGAGGGCCTGTGTCGCAGCTCCAGTTCTCCCCAATATTGTTTCCCCTCACTGACTTTCTCTGGAATCCGGGAGTCAGTTCTGTCCCCAAGGCAGAGGGACAGATAGTTCTAACCAATGCCTAAGCAACCACTCACATCTATGTATGTTAATAAAGTTGTGGCCAAAATTATGCCAAAAACCTTAAACAAAAATTCTGTGTGATGTGTGAGTTATTGGGGAAGGGGTGTTTTGGGGGACCTCAGTACGCAAACACGGATGTAAGTGACGCATGCACAGTTTATTAAGAATCCTTTCTGCAGTAGCAAAGGCACAACTCCTGTTCTCTGACTGCACTCTCTCTCTCTGTTTGCGGTTCTCTGGGGAAGGCAAGAGGCAGTTGTTGTTTTTTAATTGAGCCACACACAGGAGAGATCCGAGGCTGCAAGGTGTTTCATTATCCTTAATGACCGTGCAGGGCTGGAACCTAATGTTCGCCCTCACCGCATCTTAATCCCACTAAATGCGCAGAGATCCAAGTGGTGGTTTGAAAGCCACTATCTTCCTAAAATGCAGGATGGGGAGTGTTCGTTTAGCGTAGGCTAGCATAGAGCTGCGCCCACCGAAACGGCTATTTAGGGAAAGAATGTGCTTAAGGAGTTCGGCAAAGCATGTGGAAAGGGCTGCGAAAGTGCAGATGCTTCCTTTTGCAAAGAAATGGGGGTTTATTTGGTCAAACGCAACCCTTCTCTTCACCTTCCATTCCATATTAATGTCACAATCACAGGGTGAAATGAATAGTGGCATGATAGGAGTGACCATGACACCTGACACCTCTGGAAGTCTGTCTGTAGGGATGGAAAATGATGATGATGATGATGATGATTTTATATCCCACCCATCTGGTTGGGTTTCCCCAGCCACTCTGGGCAATAAAACGTCAAGCATTGTTTGTTTGTTTAGTCGTTTAGTCGTGTCCGACTCTTCGTGACCCCATGGACCAGAGCACGCCAGGCACTCCTGTCTTCCACGGCCTCCCGCAGTTTGGTCAAACTCATGCTGGTAGCTTCAAGAACACTGTCCAACCATCTCGTCCTCTGTTGTCCCCTTCTCCTTGTGCCCTCCATCTTTCCCAACTTCAGGGTCTTTTCCAGGGAGTCTTCTCTTCTCATGAGGTGGCCAAAGTCTTGGAGCCTCAGCTTCAGGATCTGTCCTTCCAGTGAGCACTCAGGGCTGATTTCCTTAAGAATGGATACGTTTGATCTGGAAGTCTGTCTGTAGGGATGGAAAATGATGATGATGATGATGATGATGATGATGATGATGATGATGATTTTATATCGCACCCATCTGGTCGGGTTTCCCCAGCCACTCTGGGCAATAAAACATCAAGCATTAAAAACTTCAAAAACTTGTCAAACTCAGTTCCTGCTTCTTATTTTCCCATTTCCACATTAGCTTGGTTTTGGATTTTCTAAGCACTCACAGAAGAACTGTCACTGTTTCAGTGTGCATTTGCCCCCACCCCCAATATACACGTTACAGCAAGCTCTTCTCCCTAGTATAATGCATCTCTTGTACGCTATATTCATGAATCCATGCATTTTTTTATGAACACTTTTTACTCCGGCACACATTTTTTGAACCTTCCATTTTTATTATTGCGTTGCAAAATCCAGCAAGGTGAGAATTGCAAAGGATTTCAGTCTGCCTATTGTCTCTGGAAGTGCAACTTAGACATTTCCACTTTCAGGCCGAAGCAGCTCACCAGGTGGGGCAGAGACACTAGTTAGCTGCTAGGCAGGAAGTTTGTGGTTGCCTTAGCAGGACACAGAGGGACAACGCAGCAGGGAGGCTGAATTGGTTCTGTGTGTGGTGTAGTGGTTAAAAGCAGTGGACTCGTAATCTGGTGAACCGGGTTCGCTTCCCCGCTCCTCCACATGCAGCTGCTGGGTGACCTTGGGCTAGTCACACTTCTCTGAAGTCTCTCAGCCCCACTGAGCTCACAGGGTGTTTGTTGTGGGGGAGGAAGGGAAAGGAGAATGTTAGCCGCTTTGAGACTCCTTCGGGTAGAGATAAAGCGGGATATCAAATCCAAACTCTTCTTCTTCTTCTTCTTCTTCTTCTTCTTCTTCTTCTTCTTCGACCAGCACTGGGCAGTGGTGGCTGGTGCCCACTGGAACTGGGAGGGTAGAAAGCAGGGAGGCAACTGTAGGTGGTGCCAGAGCCAATGACAGGCAGAGCCCAATAGTTCTACTTTTGTTCCCATCATCTTCCCTGCTGAGTTCTGCAAGTTCAGTGTTGAGACTGAGGAGGAGGCAATTGTCACAGAGCAAGCCGGCTGTAAATCACACTGTTCAAGTTGGAGTTAACTCCTTATTAGCAAGAACGTGATCTTCAGAGACTTGGCTGAGGGTCAGGACTAAAGAGCACAGCAGCACATCCCCAACAGGTTGATGATGCAGTTGCTGAAATGGAAGGTCTCACCTCCCCACAGACAGAAATGAGCACTAAACTTCTGAAGTGGGCAGCGTTTACGTCATGTGGAAGTAAACATGAAAGTTGACGCGTATGGAAACATTAGGAAGATGGAATAAAGTACAACACAGCTGAGGACTTGGGAACACGTGACCCCCCCCTCCAGATTTTGTTGGACTCCAACTCTCATTGGCATCAGTCAGCATGGTTGGTGTCAGAGGTTATGGGAATTACAGTCCAGCAACACCTGGGGCACCCCAGATTCCCAACTCCTTCAGCAGATCACTCTGAACTTAAAAGACATCTGAAGGCAGCCTGTTCAGGGAAGTTTTTAGTGTGTGTGAATTTGTGTTGTGTTTTTACTATCTTTTGTTGGGAGCTGCCCAGAGTGGTTGGGGCCACCCAGTCAGATGGGGGGCATACAAATATAATAAGTTGTTGTTGTTGTTGTCATCGTCATCATCATCACCATTATGGCAGTGTACTCTGAAAAGCTGCCGACAAAGGTCCGTATAGTTAAAGCTATGGTTTTCCCAGTAGTAATGTATGGAAGTGAGAGCTGGACCATAAAGGCTGATGGCCAAAGAAATGATGCTTTCGAATTATGGTGCTGGAGGAGACTCTTGCAAGAAGAGCAAACCTATCCATTCTGAAGGAAACCACCCCTGAGTGCTCACTGGAAGGACAGATCCTGAAGCTGAGGCTCCAATACTTTGGCCGCCTCATGAGAAGAGAAGACTCCCTGGAAAAGACCCTGATGTTGGGAAAGATTGAAGGAGAAGGGGAGGACAGAGGACGATATGGTTGGACAGTGTTCTCGAAGCTACCAGCATGAGTTTGGCCAAACTGCGGGAGGCAGTGGAAGACAGGAGTGCCTGGTGTGTTCTGCTCCATGGGGTCACAAAGAGTCAGACACGACTAAATGACTAAACAACAACTCTGAAAAGCGGGCTTATAACCCAAAAAACACTCTCGTAAGAAGTAGCGATACGGCCAACGTGGATGCAGTGGCATAGCACGGGTTGCCAGTGCCCGGGGCCGGGCAGAGGAGTGGGAGGGAGGGAATTGGAAGGAATACATAGGGCCGCTCCGGCGGGAAGGTAAACGGTGTTTTCGTGCACTGCTCTGGTTCGCCAGAAGCGGCTTAGTCATGCTGGCCACATGACCCGGAAGCTGTCTGCAGACAAACGCCAGCTCCCTCAGCCTATAGAGCACGCAACCCCAGAGTCGTCCGCGACTGGACTTAACAGTCAGGGGTACCTTTACCTTTATTCAAGCATCTGTGTCATGCAGGAGACTGCAGCCACAGACGTAAGAAAAGAAGAGTCATTCCGTTGTCTGGAAAGACCAGTTGACCAATGGTCAGACTCAGCATAAAGCTGCTTTGACACAAACACTACAGTGGTACCTCTGGCTACATACTTAATTTGTTCCGGAGGTCCGTTCTTAACCTGAAACTGTTCTTAACCTGAAGCACCACTTTAGCTAATGGGGCCTCCTGCTGCTGCCGCACCGCCACAGCACGATTACTGTTCTCATCCTGAAGCAAAGTTCTTAACCTGAGGTACTATTTCTGGGTTAGTGGAGTCTGTAACCTGAAGCTTATGTAACCTGAAGCGTCTGTAACCCGAGGTACCACTGTATATCCATTGACGGGAGGCAGGGTGCAGAGAATATCCCCACTTGTGCTCAGACCTTGACCTCCCTTGCGTCAAATGCGGACGGTCAGGGACTGGGTGGAATAGGATATACGTGAGGACTCCGTTCATCCACCCTGAACACGTCTCTAACCTGATAGGCATCAGACTCGTGAGAACTGATACATATGCATACAAACAGGGTGGTCAGTTAGGAACAGGAAGGAAATGACCACTTGAAGAGGCTGCAGAGGAATGTGTCTCCTTTGCGAAGCAGAAGGGAACAGACTTCAAGCCTGTTAGAGCTGCCCTGAACTCAAGAGGAAAGGAGGCGGGCGGACAGAGCGATGGAAGGAAGGAATGTGGAGCAGAGGTGGATGCAGTGTCTGGGCAGGGAGCCATCTCCTTCTCTGCCGTCCTTTTGTGCATGAAAATCAGGGGCGACAACTGAACGAAAGGGTAAAAAACAACAAGAAGCGCAGGTGCTAACAAGATCACAGGGAGGGCATGATCACAAGGATGGAAGAGGAGAACTGGATCCATCGCTGCCAATTTTCTCTCTCCTCTTTTTTTTAAGGACAGCTCTTCTTGTTGGGAGAGAATGAGATTCTTTCTAGGCCAGAGTATCTCTCGCTGCCACATCAGCAGGAACCCAGCCCGACTCTACATGCATCAAACTTCAGGGGGAAAAAACAACAAGAAGCTTTAAAGGAAGGCAACCGCAAGGAGAGAATGCGAGCCAGCGCCTCAGCAGCAGCTGGGAACCAGATGAGGTGGACACTGAGGAGAGAACAATTTAAGATGAAAAAGGATCTGCAAATGTGTGTTAGGGATGGGGGCAGGCGGGGGGGGGGGGTAATCAGCTTGATGCATTGCATTCGCAACCCCCAATCCCCTGGCCACAAAAATAAAATAAATACGAAATAAAATAAAGCTGTCTGCAATGGTTTCCTCTTCTTGTTTAGACACAGAGGAGGAAGGGAGAAAACTTCAAAACAATGCGCACCTCCTTTTGATTCCAGTACGCTGACATGGTGAAGCCCATCAAATCGACCTTCACATGTTTCGAAATTCTACAGCAGGTAGGTATAGGAACCCTGGGCGGTTAATTCCAGTCAAGGGCGACTATGGGGTTGCGGCACTCATCTCGCTTTCAGGCTGAGGGAGCCGGCGTTTGTCCACAGACAGCTTTCCGGGTCATGTGGTCAGCAGGACTAAACCGCTTCTGGCACAACAGGACACCGTGATGGAAACCAGAGTGCAAGGAAACGCCGTTTACCTTCCCTCTGCAGTGGTACCTATTTATCTACTTGCACTGGTGTGCTTTCGAACTGCTAAGTTGGCAGGAGCTGGGACAAGGTAACTGGAGCTCACCCTGTCGTGGGGATTCGAACCACCGACCTTCTGATCGGCAAGCCCAAGAGGCTCAGTGGTTTAGACCACAGCGCCACCCACCTCCCCTTTACCTTTACCGCGTACCTTTTCTTCTACAGCACCCTTTGGCGATATGGAGAAGAGTCCTGTCATTCAATCATGACATACAAATTTACCATTGTGTAAGTTTTGAGGGATGGGAAGCGGGTGGTGCTGTGGGTTAAACCACAGAGCCTAGGACTTGCCAATTTTCTAAACTTATTACAGACGCAACCTGATGAAATAAATGTTAGTCCTTCATTAATCGTTAAAAGTTACATCCAGGTAGAAATAATATTTCTGAATTGAGGTGCCTTTTTCTTTGTTTCTAGATGACACAAATATGTTGCGGCAGGAGCCATCTTGGAAGAGACATCTTGTGTGTGAGAAAAGTGAGGGGATGCCCTTCAAAATAGGGCTTGCCATCTCCACAGTTTACAGTCACTTGTATTAAAAATTATATATGTCTTCTGCTCAGGGATGCTTTCAGTCTATGAAAATTGCTTGTTTGTTTGTTTGCTTGCTTTTTAAATCAATTGATTTAACTGATGACTCAATTAATTGTTGTAGGAGGACAATCTGAAGGTCATGCCTGCTTGGAAAAACTTCTGGAGAACCTTGTCTGTAATCTATAATCCAAGGTGCATAGAGGCCAGTTATGATCTTCGGTCGTGTGAA